GTTGCTAAGCCCGAAATGTAGCTCTTGTCTCCACTTTTTCCCCCTCCCATCTACAAGAAGGTCAATTACTCGAGGAACTTGAGTTAAAAGGCGTGAGAATACACAAGCTGGACAAGGGCGAAATGGACAGATAACTTTGCGCAACAAACTTGGGAGATTTTCCTAAAAGATGGCAACACTTTGGCTGCATTATTAAATTTAGCTTTTTCAACTGCCCCAAAAGTGTTGGCTATATTATTAAATTTTCGTCCCTCAAGCGAGCAGCAAAACTGACAATTTAATTGTATTTCCAGCGCATCTAATACAGTGTGATGGGTGGGCAACCGAAGCTGTCTGGCCAATATCAATCAAAAGTTGGCCGCGCAAAATGCCATAAAACTCTGCAGCTTATCAGCGGCAAAAATGGGTAAAATAGAATAGAAAAACTACACAATCAGCAAAATTAGCGCAATTTGCGCCACAATTGCAATGGCGAAGGGCTGCAATTTATTTAAATACATACAACGGCATGTGCAGCCGTCAGCGGACCCAGTCCCTCGTCAAAGTTAACAATGTTGGCCATGGCAACAGCCGAAAACACCCGCCCACGATTGAATGGGTGCGCGGTTTGGGCCAAATAAAATTTAATGCCATCAGCAGGCGTGGGAAGGAGCGGAGTGGCAAAATGTTTGCGGCGCATAAACAAGAATTGTTGCCACAGAGCGCCGGGTAACACGCTAAACCATTAACTAAACAGCACGGAATAAAACAAAAGCTCTCATAAGAGTGCAGTCGAGCAAAAAGCCGCAAGGTGGATGCCCTTTGGCGGCACTTGGTATTCATTCGAAAGGTAACATATATGGCTATCATACCCTTATATGGCTGTGGGATTTGTATTACATTATATTTACAGCAAAAATAGTTTAAATTAATTATTTAATATATTTAAAAGAAATTCATATCTGGAATGCGGCTTGACTTTATGGTACTAAGACTTTATTTACGAAGTAATCTATCTATGTAGTCCTTAAAAATTAAGTAAGAAATGATTGCAAGTCATTCTACACAGAGAAAATTCTGACGGTCTCATCTAAGTTAAAAATGTTCTTAAAAATAGACCGACATTTTTAAGATGAAAACTTTTTATTTTGCTGGAATCAAAAAGTTGTTAAATAAAATCAATTTAACTTTTCTCTTCTCACCATTTCGTTCTTATATTGATACCAAAATGTACTTACACGGTTTTTAAGAACGAATGTTCTCAATTCAAGAAAAATGTTCTCAATTCAAGAACAATGTTTTTGTATACTTCTCTCTGTGCATGAATTTATTTTTTACACGTTTTTTAATATTGTAAGTAGACACTGGAAAAATATTTATAATTTCAAGAGAAATCTTTGTCTGTATGCTTAAATGCCAGTTATAAGAATATTCATTAATTTTTAATTCTATCAGCACAAACTTTAGTAATAAAATAATTTCGAACATTTAATTTTAAGCTATTTAGTGACAGTCTGCGACATATAAACTATGCAAACCAGCAATTGTTAAATTAGGTTGTTTCTAGTGAGCTAATCAGTCATAAATTAAATGGAAAAACATTTATTAAAATAGTTTCACGCTAATAAATTAAAAGGTTGCCCACCAGACCGTCGTCTAATTTAGTTGTAACCCAATGAGGATCTAACTAGGGCCCATCCCCAAAAACAATTAAAACTGGAAAGCTCCGCCGTGTTTCAGAATGTTGCACTAAAATTTTCGGGGGGAGGATGGGGCGCCAGGAATGCACTCACACCACCGCATGTGCAGCAGCAATAAAAATAGCTGTAACCGAAAAATAGCGGCACTTAATAAAATAAGCGTGTGGCGAGCCCTCACAAACACACATGCATATGGTGGCACGGTTCCATGGTTCAACCCACATGCTGTCAATGCATAAAACAATTTTCCACGGAAATGGCAGTAATTAACTTTAGTACCTGCTTGAGTGACACACACATTGTGTGTGCTGGGGTGTGTGGGTGTGCGGATGGTGTAGGCCAAAAACAGGATGCTCGCCGAAGTGGGTTTGCATGTCTGTTTGTCCCTGTCTATTCATGTTTCCTATGCACACGAAAAAATGTTTTAATATTTAAAGGGAACAGCCTTGTTAATGGACTTTGTAAATAATATAATAAATACAAATTGACATAAAACTTAACTTAAATTGGCTTAACAAAAACTATTTATTGCCAAAAGAAAAAAAATTGAAATATTTTATGTTAATGAAAGTGTTGGAGTGTAAGGTGACGAACTCGTAAAATATCACATGTTACATCCCGTCAAAAATTCCAAATAATTTTTTTCGATTTCTATTATGGAGCCGACAATATATTTGCAACTTCGACTAAAAAGATGCATTGAATTTCTATTCAATTTATAAGAGTTTTTGTGTGTATTTATCAGTTTGTCACCATATCCTACAACTTTTAAAAGTAAAAAAAAATTGGTTTACTCCAAGAGCTGTAGTAGTTTAATCCGCTGGAATTTTACCATCGAACTTTCACACGAATATGCTCAATAGATTTTAGCAACTTTCTGCTTAAAGACTTTTGAAAAATATTGATTTTTGGAAAAGTGTCTTTCAAAAAGCGAATTGTTCGGCACCATACCATACACTCCCTTATGTTATGTTTAAGGACATGAACGTCACAATACTAGAAATTTTGTGCATAAAACAAGATTGTTGATATGGTAATTCTAAAAATATATTATTCTTGATTCAAAAACGAAAGAAAGTAATTTTCAAAATTTTTTTTTTATTTATTAAACAGTCTAATATTCTTGAAAATTGTTTTTATATACGTTTGTTGCAGTGTCGATACCTCTCTTCTTCATGTTTTTCTAATTCAATTAAAATTGGCATCTACAGCAGCCAAACACGGCCAGCAACAACAAGCAGTCAGTTGCGATGGCGACTCATTAGGACGTCTGCATATGCAATTGAACTTACACGAACACACACTAAATCCCCAAAACGCACACCACCACCCCCACCCCCGTGTAAGCATATGTTTACGCTTGTATTGGTGTTAATGTTAACTGTCACTACATTTGCCTGCAGCCTTTTTGGCTTTGACCGCCCCACACCACCCCTCGGTTTTTAACTGGGCTGACTGCTCTTGTTGTTTGTTATGTAACTGTAAAAACATGTCAAACCAGCATGAGTGCGTATGTATGTGTCCATCCGTGAGAGTGTGTGTTCATGTGAGTGTCCTGAAGGCTGCGTTTTTGTGTTTGGGCCAGCATGTGTAAGTTGCCCTGATCACAGGGCTTTATAAATAATCCTACCCATTTTAACAGAAATTGTATTGGAGAACTATACTGATTTAAAAATATATAGGTTCACAGAAAAAAACTCTGACGTTCTCATCTGAGTTGAGATTGTTCTTAAAAATATAAGGACATTTTTGAAGTTTGTTTTCATTTTACTCGAATCAAGTTGATTTGGGTTTATTTACATTGTTTATTTTCTCAAAAAAAAAAACATTAGTCCGGTCAGTAGTGTATATTTATAAAAAAAATATTAAATAATCTCAACTTAATTTTTCTTTTCTCAACATTTTAGTCTAATATTGAGAACATTGATACCAAAATGTACTTCCACGGTTTTTAAGAACGAATGTTCTCAACTCAAGAACAATGTACTTAAATATTTCTCTCTCAGTATATTTATTGGTAGATGAAATGCATAAATTTCTGTATTTCAATGCTCAAAAAAATAATCTTTTTTATTTTAAGCCAAAAAGTAAAATTGTTTACAATTTTAAATTAACTATCTCAAAAAGAATTTATAGCTGACGAAATTTTTATACAAAAATTTAAATTGTTTTAAATTCTTTCTTTGACATTTCATTTTAGGTATATTTTTTGGATTTACATAGTTCTTTGGTTGTCTCAGCTTTCCCTAAACAAATCACAATATAACTCACTTCATGTAGGGGAATTAGAGAGTAATATGCTTTACGCTTTTTGTGTTTCATTAACATAAATAAAATATACACATAATAAAGTGATCCATCGCACATGTCAAAACAAATATGTAATGCAATCTTACAATACGTTTGAACTTAATTGTCAACTCGAATGCTAATCACATGGAAAACCAAACGAAGGCCTTCAACAAATATTAACTGATTTTCAGGCTTCTATTTGTGGCCTAAATTTCAGTCCAACTGAATGACTGAGCAATTAAAGCCACACATATAATTTTCGAATTACGAGTCCACAGAATAAATTATAAGCAGCAATTTACTCAAGCATGCATAATAAGCCCACGCACACAAAGTTTCTTTTGCTTGAGTTATTGTCAAAATTATCTCCAATGTCTCTTGCATAATTGTGTAGAATTTTAGTTTAGGATTTTGCCCGCCTCGCCCACCATTATCCTGGCTAAGCCCCAAAAGTTCATTTTAATCACCCATTCAAGAAGTGTTTATGGTGCTGCGTGTGTGTTCGTTTGATTAATGAAGATTAATAAAGGGGAAAATTGTTACCGATCTGTACAAGGTTAGTTTGATGTGCCTTGAATATGATTTGGGCTTGACAGTTTGTTTGCTTGAGTAGATTTTCTCAAATTTTATAGCCAGTGATATGATTTAATTAGGCGATTTGTGCACACTAGACCATGCAAACGAACTAACTAACCCTTTTTATTCCGCCATAAATTTCAGAAGTGCCACAATTTCGCTCGGTTAAATTTCCTTCACAATTCATATGTTGGTAATTTCGAAAATGATTTCTCATTGCCCCATAGGGGTGTTCGTCACAGAATTCATACTGGGCGTATAATTGAAATATCGTGACTCGGCGTTGCGTTCATATATAAAATTTTATTAAAACGCAGGGAACCAGAAGAGCGAGCACAATGTGAAAACTAGATGTTGAGGCCATTATAACATCGCTTAAAATTTATGACAGCACTTGCGGCATTTCGCGTTGAATTTTATTTATTTATTTCGCCGCCTCGTTTCCCATTGTTCCATTTCCAAACTTTGCGTGCCGGCAATAAGATTAAATTGCCATTGTTGCCTAGGCAATGCTTCGACAAATGCGTAAAAATAAGTTGATACACAGGCAGTTGAAAGTCGGATCCCTAACAGCAAAAATATACCCCTACGCACTGTTCGAGCTTCCTTACTCGAATGTTTTTCTATTTTTGTTGAAGTATTACAAAAAAAGTTGACAATGAATAATTTAAAGTTCATGCAAATGATACAGCAAATATGATACATTTTACGCTAATTTAATGGAAAAACAATGGTTGGCCCACGTATTTATATTTTTGGTTTTTTCCGGTAAGTGTCGTCAGGTTCGTCAGTTAGATCTGGTACATCTCGGATGAAATGAAGTTCTTTATCTGGCTTTCACTTTTATTGGCATGTAGTGGGCTTAAAGTAACGGAGGATAACATAATAACAGGTTAGCTTGTGGATTTTTCATAAATTAAAAATGATTTCATTAACCAATTTTTCAGAACTGTGCTTCAAGCCGTACACTGGACCAGCCTGCCAGAAAATGAAAACATTTTATTGGAACAAAGATAAGAAAGCCTGTTCGATTTCCAATTATTTAATGGAGCCATGTGGCTTCTTCCACAAAAAGGAAACCTGCAATACAATATGCTCCAAGGAATCATGGACTTTACCTGATTTAGAAAAATATGTTAGCAAGTTGCCTTGAAATATATTGAGTTAAAAGTCATATAGTACCGTGGCAAATTCGTTAGTATTGCTTCTAGGCACATTTTCAGTTCAGTTAGCAGTCATCATGCAGGGCTGGATCGTTTTCGTCGTGCTGTCTCTATATAACCTATCAGTTGGTACCGCTTATTATACAAGTCCAATCTATGCTAGTGAGTAAATTGGACAAGCCGTTGGAATGTTTAAAATTACTGTCACATTAAGCTCTATGCAGGCGAACAGGAGGATCCATAACTTGTTATCAAGACGACACTTGGGGCTTTAATGAGAAGACTCGAAAATGCTATCGTGTACGAAAGGCTACAGCACCATGCGGCTTTTTCGATGGTAAAAAAGGTTGCGTGGACTTTTGCCTCAAATCTAGGGGATAAGACAGCATGTTAAGTGCTAAACTTTAAAAAATGCTTGTCTTAATATACAATAATAGTGGCCTTAACGTGTCTCATACGCCATATAAAATATCTAAGGTCATGAAAATGGCTTTAGATAAATGCATGTCCTGATATTTAATAAAATATAATAATAATGGCCTTAACGTGTCTAATACACCATATAATGTATGCCAATCCATACCTAAAAGTTATCTAAAGCCATGAAAATTATATGACTGTTATTTTGTAACTCCACCAGTTACGATGAATATCTTTCACAAACTGTTCTTTATTTTATTAAGCCTATCCAACATGATTCTCGGAAATGCTGGCTCACTGAAAGACAGTAAGTGGAATATTGATGCAAAGCATTGCATCTGGTTTTTAAATATATGAAAAAAAAGTGTTCTGCAGTCCTAGTCAAGTAGAAGACTTTTGCTTGGAGGAGAACACTTGGGCATTTGACCAGAAAACGAAATCATGTAAACTTGTGATTGCCACCAAAGAACCTTGTGGGTTCTTTAATAACGAAAAGGATTGCAATGAGTTCTGCTTAAGCGAGTCAAAAAATGTTATAGATGACCCCCTGAAAAAGATGGAACAACTGAGTAAAACATTGAAAGATGTGAACCTCTAAAGCAACTTGGTACCAAGGGAATATCGTGGTACGAGCAGCAGTGTTATCTGTTTCTCCAAGAACACTGAACCGATTGTCTGATCCCTTAACTTAAAATAAAAGCAAACAAAAATTTGTTATCTGGTTTGAGCCTCGCTTATAATTCTTTTACTGAAAATTTTGTAAATAAAAAAAACGTTTGGTTGTGGGAAATATCCGAGTTAGTCGACTGTCCGAACTAACAGACCATCTCAACTTACAGAACTCTCTCTTGAAACATATTTTTAATGTTTTCGAGTACTCCACATTTTGGATTGGGTACCTTCAAGTTTAATAATATAAAAGAGATAACCAAACTTTAAAAACAATTTTTTTTCTGTTATTATTCTGTCGTGTGCCTTGTGTAAATATTGGGTGGGCAAGAAAGTCATGTCGTTTTTTTTAGTAATCGTTTTTAATCTAATTTATTTACGACTAATCGAGCACCAGGGTCACACTTTTTAGTATCGTTTTAAAGCTTATGGTCTTAGGTACTATCGACGAAAATTTGGTAATTATTCGATAACATTTGTGGAAGCTATAGCAAATTAAACATGGAGGACCAAAGTGAGCATTTTCGGCATATTTTGCTTTTTTACTTCCGAAAAGGAAAAAAAGCGGTCGAAGCTCGCGAAAAATTGTGCGAAGTGTATGGTAAAGATGCCATGAGTGATCGCCAATGTCAGCGCTGGTTTGCCAAATTCAGGCTTGGAGATTTTGGAGTTAAAGACGCCCCACGTTCTGGTCGACCATCGGCCGTTTTTGACGAACAAATTCAGGCTTTGCTGGATGAAAACCGGCGCTATTCAACGCGGGAGATGTCAGAGAAGCTCAGTGTGTCGCATACAACGGTTGAAAACCATTTGAAGAAACTTGGCTACGTAAGCAAGCTCGATGTTTGGGTTCCGCATAACTTAAAGGAAATTCACCTAACTAAGCGTATCAACATCTGCTATTCTCTGCTGCAACGGATTAAAAACGATCCTTTTTTGAAGCGGATCATTACTGGCGACGAAAAGTGGGTTGTTTACAATAATGTCCAACGAAAAAGATCATGGAGCAAGAAAGATGAGCCAGCCCAAGCCACATCAAAGGCCGATATCCATCAGAGGAAAGTTATGCTGTCTGTTTGGTGGAATTGGAAGGGTGTAGTGCACTTTGAGCTGCTGGGACGGAATGAAACCATCAATTCAGATGTGTACTGTCGCCAGCTATCCAATTTGGCGGAAAAAATTAAAGAAAAGGAGCCGGCACTAGCTAATCGCAAGGGTATAGTCTTTCACCATGACAACGCTAGGCCCCACACATCTTTGGTCACTCGGCAAAAATTAACGGAGCTGAATTGGGAAGTGCTACCACATCCACCTTATAGTCCGGACTTAGCACCTTCAGATTACCATTTGTTTCGCTCTCTTCAAAACTCTTTGAATGGTAAAAACTTTGATTCAGATGAGGCTGTCGAAAACCACTTGTCTCGATTCTTTGCTGGAAAAGACCAAAAGTTCTTCGAGCGCGGAATTATGCAGCTGCCCGAGAGATGGTCATTAGTGGTCGAACAAAACGGCCAATACATAATTGATTAATTATAAGTCCTGATATAAATAAATCATCTTTGAAAATATTGAAAAAAAACGACATGACTTTCTTGCCAACCCAATACATAAATCAATATCTTAATCGGCTTAGAATTTGTGGAATTGATTAAAATTGCAAGATAATTTATTTATTTTTAGAAATTTCCCAAAGCATTTAGATTTTTGAATTTACAGTTGATTTCACTCCATTGCTCAGAAAAAGCTTATATTTCCATATACAGATGTATTAATAAAGTTTTAAATCGGAAATATCACAAGTTTTTCGCTTTTCATAGGCAAGGAAAAGTTGAAGACTACTCGGATTGGCGCGTAAATAGGAATAGGAATTTCCCTTGGCATGAGCTGGCTGGTTTTTCCTCGTTTGTTTGTCGGCCGTATGAAGTTCATCAAGCAGCTCCACTGGAGCATGTGTCCTTGGCCGACCATTGTCCTTTGCTTTGTTTGTTGTCTGGTTTGCAACCGCCGCTAATGAAACATACTTCTGGCACTTTATTTCATTTGCTCTCTCGCCTCGCCCTAACAATCTGCCCCTGCCACTCCCCTCGCAGCATTTAGCTCATTTTCGCCGGCTTGGCTCAAGTTTTTGTGTCCTTGGTTTTATTAGATTTTATTTGCTCAGTCTTTATTTGTCTTCTGCCGTCGTTTTCCTTCTTGCCAGCATTAAGTGTCCAATTTTAGTTCACCGGGGTGTTTCTCGGGTGATAATATTTTGTTACTCATCAGTGAAAGGATAGTATTTAATTTCAAGAACTAAAACCTAAAAAAAAACATTTTTCGCCCTTTAAAAGAGTTTTCAATCAGAAATGTTTATTGATTTTACAAATGTGATTTTTAAATCTTATTTGTGCATTTAAGTAATGTACAAAACTGATAGACGTTCAGTGTCATAAGGCCCACGGCTTTCTTCGCCCTTAGGCGTTATGACACTGGGCGTTCTATGTACTTTACATTTTTGCTAACTAAATAAATATTACTTCTGACAATTAAGGTATGTAGTTTGCTATTCCTAGGGCTTAAGAAAATGATTTTGTATTCTAGTAACTCTGAAATAGGGTATACAACAGGGTAGCTAGATGTCGTAGTCCTGGCTTAAACTACTCCTTTTTTCTTCTGGCCGGGTTTCTTTTGTGCTCGGCTTTCGCTTGCCACAGCAGAATCCTTGTTGCTGGCTCCTGTTCTATTTGCTTTGGCCTTTTGTTAGTTTGTTTTGCGCAGAAAACTTTGCTCAGCCAGCTGGCCACATATGCCCCAGCATCCTCATTTGGCTGCTCGTTTTTTACACTCACATTTCTTTTTTTTTTTAGCAAATTCGTCAAGTTTGTAAACACAAATTATGACAATTAAGTTGACTGTTGACTTGTTTGAGCTCGTCGTCTGCAAACTTTGCTTGCAATTTAAAAACTCGCCAAATTGCATTAAATTCCTGTCGAAACCGTTGACAGCAAATTCAATTAGGCGGGCAGGGCACAAGAAAAAAGGCACTCGTTTGACATTCCGGATCGGGCTTAATTTTCGGTTTAATCTCCATGCATTTGCAGTGCGCGAGGAGCAAAGTTTGGGTGCCAGGGTGCCAGAGCTCACGCAGAGTTCGTCCTCGGGGCACGGAGGTGTTAAAGGTGGCCTGCAGCCACAATTGTTCATTAGATTAGCAAGTTGGCAGCCAAAGTTTGCAGCCCGGCTCAAATGCCACTTTCATGGCTGCTGACACACTTGAGTTGGATTGCGTTTCTGCCTCTGGCCCCCCAATTTCCGTTTTCTTTTTGCCATTGGAGAAATTTTATGAATTTTCTTATCAATTCAAAAGGCGAGAAACGGCAGAAATTTACGTGCTCAAAGTGGCAAGTTGTCACAACGACGAGCCAATCTATATGGGTGTCTCAGTGTGTGTGTGTTAGCCAACTTTTTGCTCCTTTTCGCCCCGTTGCTGCAGCAGCACCACATCGCTGTCTCAATTTGTCATTGAAGTTGCCGCTGTGCTGCCGATAAGAAAGTTTTCACTTGATATAAGCAAATGCGGCTATTGATGGTAAATGTTGGCAGTTAGTCTTCTCCTTCGACTCTGCGCTCTTTTCAAGATTTAAATTGAGTCTCAAAGATTTCTTTAAGGACCTACACCCGGAGTTTTGTGGTCTTTAACGAGAAGAAATCGCAGATGATTTTCCCTGGAAAAATGGAAGTGCTTCGTCACCATTTACCAAGAGCACTCGCCAATTAAACTTATCTGTAATTGCCTTAAAGTTTGAATGAGTTTCCCTGAGTTTTTGAGAATTTCACCCAGCTGTATAAAGAACATGAGGTGGATTGATTTGACTTATCTGTGGTTGATACCTTTAAATCTTTTTAATATATTTACTGCAATGTACTAGACCATTGTGTCATATTCATAACAAGAAGAAAGCATACAAGTTGCAGGGAAAACAAATGAAAACGCTTTGTCACCATTTAGGCCAGTGCTCGCCGCCAATTAAACTTATCAGCATTTACGCTTTATCTGAATTAAGTGCACACGTGGAGCACACGCAACTGGCCGGCGGAAGTGCGGAAAATGCCCAGCCAGGGCAGGTGGGAAATGGAAAATGGAAAATGTTTGCCGCAGACACCGAAGTGCGTAAGGCAACACTCCTGTGGCGGCGCGTGTTACATAATTAAAGGGCTGCCTCGAGGTGGCAAGAGCGTGAAAATAAGGCGAGAGACAAACTATAAAATAAACCAACAGTGCAGGGCGAATGCGAGGGGCCAAGTATCACAGGCACACTCAAGGGCATAAAAGAGTTTTTATTACCTGGCTCTGAAGGAAGCCCGAGCAGGAAATCCTAGTCCTGCGTGGCCCCAACCTGAATAATAGCCAGTGCGGCTCATTGTCCTTTTCCGGTAATAATTTCGCATTTACCCTTAGCTCGGTGGCAACCTAACACGTTTGTTCTGCTGGCTGCCCGGCTAAATTAGCTGTGACAGCCGCGTGGCAAAAGGCGCTCCATGTCCAAGTCCAAGTCCCCCGTCCTTCGTCCTTCGTCCTTGACTGCGGGGAGGACTCTTCGGCGGCTTGAGACATACCTGAGGCGACTCCGTGCCACCACGTTATCATTTATAATGAGTTAATTACATTTAATACGCATGTAGAATGGCCTGTTGAACATGGCGCACAATTAAATGTGACCCTGGCCGAAGGAGCTTCAATGGCTATAACAACAAAGGATAACGTGGCCATATCTCTGTAGTTGCCTATGTGTGTGAGAGCTCGACGCTT